GCTTTGAACTAGTCGAAAGCCCGGTTTAAAGCATCTACATGTTTGGGGATGTCCAGCTGAGGCAAGGCCTTATAGGCCAAATAAAAAAAATTAGACTCCAAAACAGTTACCAACTACTTTATTGGGTATTCTGAACGTTTTAGGGGCTATAAGTTCTATGATTCCACACTCAGGAATATTTTTGAGACGGGAACAGCAACATTCTTTGAGAATGTTGAGTTTGGAGGGAGAAATAAGGTTAAAACGGTTGCTTTTGAGGAGGAATTGGTTTCAGACCCAATTCATACAGTCACTTTTGACGATATTCAGGTTCCTATACCTGTTATTGATCAAGAAGTGAATTCGGAAGCTTAAGAAGACAATGTTGAATAACTCCCTGTTCTAGAAGAACAAACTCAACAACCTCAAGAACCAGTGTCATTAAGGAGATACACGAAAGAAAGAAGAAATGCTATTCCGGATGATTATATTGTATTTCTCCAAGAATATGAAAAAAATAATAGAATGTTGAAAGATGATCCAATCAATTTCTTTCAGGCCATAAAAAGTTCTAACTCTCAAAAGTGGATTGATGCCATGAATGAAGAGTACAAGTCTATGTAAGATAATAAGGTTTGAGAATTTATCCCATTGTCAGAAGGTGCAAAATTAATTGGTTGTAAATGGATAGTAAATGGATATTTAAAACCAAGCGGGATGCAAATGGTAATATGGAGAGGTACAAGACACGTCTTGTAGCTAAAAGCTATACTCAAAAGAAAGACATTGATTATACAGAGACATTCTCTCCAGTTTCAGCGAAAGACTTTTTCAAAACTATCATGGCACTTGTTGCTCATTATAATCTTAAGTTACATCAGATGGATGTTAAGACTGTGTTTCTCAATGGAGACATTGATAAAATGATCTATATGGTCCAACCAGAAACTTTATGTCAGGAGATTCAAAGAATATGATTTGCAAATTAAAAAAATCCATCTATGGACTCAAGCAAGCTCCTCGTCAATGGTATCATAAGTTTTAACAAATGCAAATTAAAAAAATCCATCTATGGACTCAAGCAAGCTCCTCGTCAATGGTATCATAAGTTTTAACAAATAATTATCTCGCAAGCAAGCTCCTCGTCAATGGTATCATAAGTTTTAACAAATAATTATCTCGTTCGGTTTTGAGATTAATATTATTGATGACTGTGTATATCACAAGTTCAGTGAAAGTAAGTATATTTTTCTGATTCTATATGTCGATGACATATTGCTTGCTACTAATGATATAGGCATGTTACACAAAACCAAGAGATTTCTATCAAAGAATTTTAAAATAAAAGATCTTGGGGACGCCTCTTTTATATTAGAAATTCAGATACATCGAGATCGTTCTCGCGGTATACTTGGACTATCACAAAAGAGCTATATCGATAAAGTACTTAAAAGGTTTGGCATGTATGATTGCAGAGCAGGTGATACCCTTGTTGCTAAAGGAGATTAGTCTAAATCAGTGCCCTAAAGATAATCTTGAAATTCAGGAAATACAGAAGATTCTTTATGCTTCGGTTGTAGGAAGTCTAATGTATGCTCAGGTGTGTACGCGTCCGGATATTACGTACATTATTGGGATATTAAGTAGATACTTAAGTAACCCTGGTATGGATCATTAGATAGCAGTCAAAAAGGTTATGAGGTATCTTCAGAAAAAAAAGATTATATGCTCACATACAGAAAATCAGAACAGTTGGAGGTCATTGGGTACTATGATTCTGATTTTGCTGGATGCTAAGATAGCAGAAAATCTACATCAGGCTACATTTATATGTTAGCAGAAAGAGCTATATCATGAAAAAGTGTTAAACAGATACTCGTAGCTTCATCCACTATGACAACAGAGTTTGTAGCTTGTTATGAGGCATCCAATCATGGAATATGGTTATAAAATTTTATCACTGGATTGCGCATTCTGGATAATGTTGAAAGACCACTTAAGTTATTTTGTGATAATAAATCAGCAGTGACGTATTCCAATAACAACAGAAGCTCGACTAAGTCAAAACATATTGATATTAAGTTCCTGATTGTGAAAGAAATGGTACAGAGTGAACAGATATCCATAGAGCATATTGGGACAAACTCCATGATAACAGATCCTCTTACTAAAGGATTACCACCCAAGGTCTTTCATGAGCACACTGCTCATATGAGTGTGGTGTTATTTGAGGATATTATGATTTAGTGAGAGTTTATAATTTTTTGGTGCTTTGTGTTTGGTTGTATTGTCTGATCAGAATAAAATATTCAGTTAAGACACTGTTACATTATGTTTGGTTTTGACCTCACTAAAGTATGATCAATTAAAAATAGACATGTACTGATCACATTGCATGTAATTTTCATGCTGCACATCCATGATTGATCTATGTCATTTGATTGTATTGGTATATGTGACCATTGATGGGTTTAGTCACGATAAAATTGATCTATGTCATTTGATTGTATTGGTATATGTGACCATTGATGGGTTTAGTCACGATAAATGTGACGAATGACGCTTTGATCCTATATTGATATTGTCAATGGACGAGATTGTTCGAAAATACCCTTATTTGTGATAGCAATTTCTAAGCTCATAAGGTTGTACATGTTTTAATGAAATCTAATTATGGGCATATATGTTATATTAGTGTATAATGCTATCTTTAAGGCTAACTCACATAAAGTGATCAATCAATTTGAGCTAATGGGTATTTAAGTAACTCATGGGCTAAATGTACGAAAACCAGGTTGTAATTATAATTTGATGAAGGACCAATTTATAAAAATATAACAACTATAAATAAGGGATTGTAGTCCCTAATCTAGGGTTACATTCTCTATTCTCTTAATCCACATCTAAAGAGATTCCAAAAGAAGAGACCCTCAAGATTAGAAGATCTGTTGGATTTTAGAGAGGAGATGAGGAGATAATATTTTTCTCTATAATTCATCAACTAAAAGTGCCTTTATATAGGCTTACAAAACAACTTAATCCCATAAAAATCTAAACTAATTAGCAACAACTCCACTAATAAAATAACAACCTAATAACAAATTTGAATCAGTTATTCAACATTCCCCCTTGATTCAAAATTTCTTGTCATTCCTCTTGAATCTTCATAGAGCACTTCTCTCCATAATCTTGTAAAGCACTTCTCTTCACTTTGTGATGCACTTCTCATCTCAAACTTGTTGACGCACATAATCACCAACATTTCTTAAAGGAGCACTTCTCTCCACAAGCACTTGTCTCAATCTCTCCATGACGCACATCTCACCATGATTCCTAGAATAAAATTTCTTCTTCAATTGCTTGTGCCATGTTTGCTTGTTCTTCACCATTATATCGGCAATATTTTGGATATGACCGAATCTCTTGCATTTGTGACATTGAGGTTTTCCTTTATGCCAACAATCCTTCTCCTCATGACCAAGTTTCTTAGAATTGTTGCATTGGACGCATTTGCATTTCCCTTTTGAAGATGAAGTCTTGGCTAATAAGGCTTCTTCAATTTTTTCACCATTTTCTTCATTCCTCATTGCTCTCCTTTGGTCTACGGCACTGAGGGCATTGACTAAATCCACTAGAGTTATTTTTGATAGGTCTTTGGAATCTTCAATTGAGAAAATTTTGGACTCATACCTTTCGGAAACAGTCACTAAAATCTTATCAACCACTCTTTCATTTGAAAATGTTTCACCAAGCAATCTAATTTGATTGACAATAGCCATAAGCTTACCGACATACTCTTTGATGGTCTCACCTTTCTTCATCTTTTGCATCTCAAACTCCCTCTTGAGATTCAGAACTTGCATCAATTTTGTTTGATCGTTGCCTTCGAACTCTTCCTTTAGCATCTCCCACGCCTCCTTAGGTGATTCACAAGTCATTATACTTGTGAAGATTCCATCCGACACGGCCGAATGAATACAAGAGAGGGCTTTTGGCTTCTTTGCTTTTTCTTCATCGTGCTTCTTGATTTGTTTTAGGGTTGGATTTTGTGGAAGAGGGGTAGGCTCATAGTCACTCTCAACAACTTCCCATAAACTCAAAGATTTCAAATGAGATTTCATCTTGATAGCCCAAGATTGATAATTGTCTCCATTGAAGATGGGGTATGAAAGCGAAAAATTATTGGATGCCATTGAAAAAACAAAGATTGATCACTCTCTTTTTTTTATTCCTCACAAACCATAGCCGAGAGCGCCACAGTTTTGTGAAGAAATCAAATCCGTACTGAATTTGTGAAGACTCCACGCGGCCTTCACCAAATACTCAAAGAAATACGAAACTGAGGATGGGAAGAAGGAAATCCAGACCCAGCTTGAGAAGATAAAGAAATATGCTTCTGTTGTCCGTGTGCTGGCCCACACTCAGATTAGGAAGATGAAGGGTTTGAAGCAGAAGAAAGCCCATTTAATGAAAATCCAAGTGAATTGACCACGTCCTTGCTCCTCTTGATCTCCAGATCTCATTCCTCCTCCTCTTCAATCATCATCAGCCATGCCAAAACAACCAAGCTCTGATACCATGTTGGAAATTAGAGAGTAGATGAGGGGATAATAATTTTCTCTATAATTCATCAACTAAAAGTGCCTTTATATAGGCTTACAAAAAACCCTAATTCAGATCTGTGCAAATCTAAGTTATGGATTCAGATATTGCTTTCGCTCTCATTGTTATTGTTTATTCTCTTTGAATGAATCATGGTTTTATGGATTAGATCTCAGTTTTAGATCTAACATTCAATACCCACAAAGCCCTAGCTTAGTTCCTCACTTTCCCCAAACTCAAAAAACTGATATTTGATAAGAAATTTTGATTCTCGTTCATTTTTGTATGTTGATATTCTTGAACAAGCTAATGTCAGTCTTTATTGCACTTCAGGTATCAAATTTTAGAAAATTGGTGAAAATAATCTGGAGAAGGAAAAAAATGTCAAACTTTTTTCTGGAGGAAAATGCAAAGAATACCTAATTTTGTGAGGAGCAAGGAGAGGACGAGACCGACGGGACCAGCACCGACGATCATCACCGGCACGTGCGGGTGGCGG